ATTAAAAAAAATATCGCCCCCCCCCCCCGCCATGTTCATTGCAACATTATTTACAATAGCCAAGATAAGGAAATGAGTGTCCATCAGTGGAAGAATGGATAAAGAAGATGTGATATATATATATATATATATATATATATATATATATATATATATACACACACACACACACACACACACAATGGAATACTCTTCAGCCATAAAAAAATGGCCTCTTGCCATTTGCAACAACAGGGATGGACCTTGGGGACATTATGCTAAGTGAAATAATTCAGAGAAAGGAATACCATATGATCTCATTTATGTGGAATTCGACAATAAAAGCAAGCTCAGATACAGAGAACGGACTGGTGGTTGCCAGAGGCAGGGGTAGTCGGGTGGGTGAGGATGCACAATGGGTGAAAGGGGTCAAAAGTTATTACAGACTTCCAGTTATTAAAAAAAATAAGCCCTGGGGATGTAATGTACAGCATAGTGAATATAGTTACTAATACTGTATTGCATATTTGAAAGATGCTACGAGGGTAGATCTTAAAAATCCTTATTACAAGAAAAAAAATTTTTTTTTCTGATTATGTGAGGTGACAGATATTAACTAGACTTATTGTGGTGAGCATTTTGCAATGTATACAAATGTCGAATCATTATGTTGTACACCTGAAACTAATATAATGTTATATGTCAATTATACCTCAATAAAAACAATATATTACTATCAATATAATACTTAAAAAAGAACTCTTCTCTCTGCAGTGGTTCTCACCCCTGGGTGTACATTAGAATCACTGGAAGAGACTTTTGCCCCACCCAGGTAAATCAGAATCTCTTAAAAGTTGGGACCAGTGCATTGGTATTTAATTTAAAATGCTCCCCAAGTGATTCTAATGAATAGCCAGGGTTGAGAAGCCTTAGGGCTCAGGCTTCCGCAGCCTTCTTCTATGTAAGGTCCTTCTCTCCAACACCCATCAGTCTGGCCTTGGGTGATGCACAGTCATCAACTTTGTTTCATGCAGGGCTCGAGAGGACACCTTTTAAGCCTGCCTTTCCACTTCCTATCATGGGATGGGTGGAAGTGCCTGGCGCCTTTCCTCCCAGGAAGGGCTGTCTCCTTTGCCCTGGATCTGTCCTTCACCCTCCTTGGGATACACAGTGAAAATGGCGGTCCTCTGTAAGGCTGAAGAGGAACCTGGCTGAGCTCCTTGCTGGAGACAGATGCAGGGAAGCTGTGCACGTGTCTTGTAAACACACTAGTTTCTGCCCTGGAGAACAGGAAGGGGTAGTGTATTGGCAGTGGACTCTATGCATAGGAGGTGGTTCTCGATTGGATTTTTAAAAATGAGCAGGGGGTATAATGACCCTCACTGCTGCTGGAAATATCACCTGGGGTCAAGTGTGGTGGTTCCTATAATTTGCTGCAACCCACTGAGCAGAACGGGGCAGGGGACATATCCCATCCACGCCTACCTGACCTGTTTACACTAAAAGCTTCTTCAAGAAAGTTTAGATGATTTAATATGGTTTCCCACATCCAGCCTAAAGTTCTAGAAGTCTGGTTTTTCTGTAAGTGCCACACTGATTGATATTTCACAATTTAAATAGCTGCTTATGTGTACTTAAAAGAGTTTTAAAACACATTTTATGTAAAAATGTTTTTCCCTGGGCTTGAGTGGATGGGTACGTGTGCTGGCGAGAGGCGGGGCAGTATTCCCCCAGGCTGTGCTGCTGTTTCCCAACAAACAAAGCAGGAAGCGCTTTGTGGGGATGCATCTGGATTTCTGGCTTTGCCCTCCGAGCATCATGCGTAGCTCCCCTCTTGGGACCAGTTCTGTTCTCGGGTACCTCTGGGCTAGGGAGGGGTGGAGACACTTGTGCTTACCAGAGTCATGTCTTAACACTTCGTCTTTTATCATCCGGAATCCATCCCCACCATTGGCAAGGAAGTTCGGGAGGATCACCTTGTACACCTCATCCATTCTGAGGGGCTCGTAACTGGGCACACGACACTGGGTGCAAAGGACCTCTAATTTGACCACTCTGTCCCCGGGGTTTCGGGAAAGATCGTACACCACGTGAATTCCTAGAAAAGAAATGAGCCTGTATGTTTTCACTGGATCCAAAGGGAAATTTCTGTTTTCTAAGAAAGGGCCAAATCTGGAATTGGGGCACTGGGCTTAGTTTTCATTTAGTTTGAGCTTGAGTGAAATTTCAGCAAGAGAGCTGAGGTGACATTGCAGCTACCCTATCTGGTTAGGTTCGTCCTTGAGTCCTTCTGGGAGGTCTGAGAACCCCCGGGAGGAACTCTGGCTCTGGCCCAGAGTGGGCGAGAGGTGACTCTGCAGGGAGAAAACAGACCTTTTTAAAATCCTGAGTTAATTGGTCCAGCAACTTGGTTCAGTGGCTCTGGAAAATGAGGAACAGATGACAGTCACAGAACCTTGTACCATCTTGATGACTAAGAGATGTTAATAATTTGGGCTTGGGTGACTTTCACAAAACATAACGACTACCCAGCACTGTGCTGGGGCACCAGAGCCCCGGTGTTCCCTCCACTCTGTCCTGGAAAACGCAGAATATCTGGGCTACCGCACAGGCAGCAGCCTGGACCCCACCACACTCTGCAGCCCCTCGATCCCAGCAGCGGAGTGCCCTGCAGAGGGAAGACTTCACAAAGCAATCACAGCCCTCAGGTGCGGCCCGCTATCTACAGGCCGGAAACTGAGGCCAGAATGTGGAGTCAGAGTCAAACAAGATTATTCATATTAATTTAAAGTTGAATTCATTGGACTGTGGACTTAATTATTGACGAAAGCATTTCAAAAGTCCATGACAATTTGGGAAGCATTTGTTTTCCTTCCGTTTTCACTGCAATCCATGAGATAAGCTGGCCCATTTTCTCACTGTGCTCCGAGAGGCTGAGGGCTTGCCCCAGGTCCCGCTGGAACCAGAGCCAAGTTCCTATGTCTTGTCCAGACTGCCCCGCCCAGAAATCATCCTTGTTAATACTTACTGGACACTGCATTCCTTTGAACTTCTGTATGGTTCCAGGCAATCACAGAAAAACAGACCAAAAAAACCCTTTTCTGTTTTTTTATGAAGAATATTGAATGTTGAAGCAACTAAGATTTTAATAGAAACTAGGCCTCAAGGCGGCTGACCTGCAGAGACCATCCGATGTCCAAATCAGACTTGGCAAATGGTGCTCATTTTCGGGGCCTTGGGGCTTTGACCCCGACCTACTCCAGTGGTCTGGCCATTGAAAGACTATGCATTGGTGTTGGGTGTGTGAAAACCCGAATAGGCCTGACCAGGAGGTCCTGGTAAGGGCGGAGCTAAGCCAACCAGCAGGAAAGCCCACCCCACCTTGCAAGGTGACTTACCGCCCACCTGCAGGAACTCCCCCGTGGACTGGCCGTAGCGGTACACGCTGTGCTCGAAGGCCTTCTTCAGGGTGGAGCCTTTTAACTGGACCAGGTCAAAGGTGCCTCCAAAGGGCAACACAGCAGCCAGGTTCTCCCAGGTAATTGTGCCTGAGGGTAGTCACAGATGAGGTGAGGAGGAAAACAGCTGGAGAACTGGCACACCCCATGGCCGGTGTCCTTTAGGACTGGTGGAGCAGGTGAAGGAGACACGGGGCACAGGGAGGCTCTGAGGACAGCACAGCTGCATCTAAGTGTTCCTGACACTTAGGGGGAGAATGGAATCGAGAGGCCTCTGGCCGTGCCCTCCACCACTGAGGCTGACGCTTTTTGACAGCGTTATCAGGGAAGACTACAACAGTGTCTCGAATATCTGATGGTTGGTTTGTTTTACCATATGCTATAATCCTGGATACCTGTAAATGCACTAGAGGAACTTACCCAGCTCTTTTTTCCCAGCACCTAAGATGGGCAATTTTTTTTTTTTTTTGGCCATGCCGCATGGCATGTGGGCTCTTAGTTCCTCGACCAGGGATGGAACCCGTGCCCACTGCAGGGGAAGCGCAGAGTCCTAACAACTGGACCAGGGACGTCCCAAGATTGGCAATTTTGTCCTCCTCTTTCCAGATACCCAGGTGGAGGCCGTCACTATTTTGCATACATCAGCAACCATTTGTGTTTTGCTGTGTGAATCAGAAGTTGAGCTAAACCTTGGTGCCAGTAAGGCTTGCTGCTCCCTCTGTGAGCAAATGCATCCAAGAACACACAAGCCTGTGTGCACCCTTCGGGGGGGGCACTGACTTGAGTGGCCGAAGGGCCTGGCATGGTGGGGGGGTCTTGGGGGACTGGGGGACTGGTCAGACAGCACGCTGAGCTGAGGCCGGGGGCCGGGAGCCGGGAGCATACCATTGTTCCGTTCGTCAATGGGTGACCGGATGCTGCCTCCGTTTAAAATGCACATGGACACGTGGTTCCAGGACATCTCATCCGGGTGTCTCAGGTTGTTGTTAATCTGCAACAGCAGCATGAATTTACACTCATTATTCTGGGTCTTCCTCCTTAGGGTCAGTGCCTGGAACTTGGTTAGCTGCACCGGGCAAATAAAGCTGCTGTTCCCCTGCTCCTGTGTGTGCCCAGAGCTTTCTCAAGTGTAATTCATCAGAACTAGTTTTAGGCTCTGAGAAGTAAATCTCAGATACTGTGACCAGTCCCAGGTCAGACTCTTGAGTAGCCAGTAGCTCTGAGCCCCTCTCCTAAGACCCCTGCAACCCGCCAGGCCAGGGGCCCTTAGCAAAGCCAGCACTTGAAGTAGGAGGAAGGGGCTTCTGTGCAGACTGACCCACGGGGCTACTCCCCCTGGGGCTCCTCCAGGGCAGGACCCACATTTGCTCCTGAGGGCGGAGCCCAGAAGCCTTTCAACTCAAGACCTCAGGCCACAAAGGACCCTGGCATCCATGTCTAGGTCCCCAGCCAGTTCCCAAATTGGCAATTTTGGAGACGAGAGAGAGACGGGGGAGAGTCAGTTTCATTCTTTCTTTTCTTTTACAAAACATATGTTTAGTTACAAGAAATAAAACGAATTACATTCTCATTTGAAAAATGATGGTGGAAGAGGTGAGGGAGACACAGGGCCACAGGGCGGCTATGAGGGCAGCACAGCTGCAGTGTTCCTGACGCTTAGCGGGAGAAGGGGCTCATTCTCTCTCTGTTAGGTAAGCCCTGCTAGAGCCTGGGGTGTTTCCTTCCAGACCTGCCTCTGCACATTCACAACTCTGGCTTCTCGTTTGCTGCTTGTCTCGCACTGACTGTGCGATGCTGAGCCTCCAGCACTTGTCCCACCTTGGAAAGTGTGAGTGTCGTCATTTACTTGGCAGACATTTATTGAGTGTGGCTGCATTCCAGGTACTGGGCACCTGGCACCGAGCTGAGCCCAGACAACGGAACGGCCTCCTGGGTGCCCCTGGGCATGGTGAGTCTCAGCTGGAGACCTCGGCTGGGCACGGCCCTCCTGGGGGGGCTGCCCGCAGACAGGTGGACAGAGGGGTGTTTTTGGTGTGAGAACTTGCTCCAACATGGAACTTATTATTCTTGTGATAACTGCTTTGCTTGTGAAGGTGGTTCACACAAGGCCGAGTTCTCTGGGGTCAAGAGGACAGATCAGTGAAACACACTCTGGCCTAGTTAGGCCCAGGCAGATGCATTTCATTCTATGTCTACTCCTTGGGAGGAGCAGGGTTTGTGGATTCAGGACATCTTACCAAAGGAAAGCAACATCCAATATTCAGACACCTAAGATGAGCACCTTGAAATAAAGGCTTCTGTCCTTTTTGTTTGGCGGCACTGCGCAGCACGCAGAACTCACCTGACCAGGGATCGAACCTGCACCCCCTGCAGCAGAAGCATGGAATCTTAACCACTGGACCGCCAGGGAAGTCCAAGGCTGCCGTTCTTGTAAAGCAATAAAGGGATGGCCCACTGGTCTGGTTCGGGCACCTTCCCAAGGTACTCAGTGTGATTACACGCCAAGCGTTTGTCTCGGGACTAATTTCTAACAGTCCTCAATTCTGTAACTGTCAGGTTGTCCGTCCTTGCATCCTCCCTCCCTAGGCACGGGCCCTGCTCTCCTGTGGACCACTCACCACAGCATCACAAATCAGGTTGCCCATGTTGCACTCTCGAAAGCGGCATGACTGAGTGGTGCCGTCCAGATAGACAATTGTTTTCCCCAATTCCTGGGTCGAGTAATTATCTAATTTTATCCTCCATTTGTTAATGTCTGCTTTTATGCTTGGATCTAGAAGAAAACAAACAAAGCAGCCTGCAGTTAAAGCCTAAATGTTGGAGAAAGGCTCAAACGTCATTCAGCTCACCTGGCGTGAGTATACAGTTCTTTACCGTATTTGTGTACGTTTTGATTTTGACTGGGAAATTTCCTTAGGAACCTCTATTCCATTTCCTGGGAGTAAGACCCAGCTTGGATCTTAAAGACGTGCCAAGTAAATCAGCATCAACTTGTCACATCTGAATGAGTGTCTGCTGGCCCAACGGGGAGGGCATTAGCGGTGAGGAGACAATGAGAGGCCCAAGGGCAGGTATAAAGGGTTGAGACGTCCGGCTACAGGGTCCCGGCCCCTCCCTCTGGCTGTCGGGAGCTCTGGCTCTCCAGGGCCCCTGGTCACCTGTCCTTCCCTGTCTGATCACGGTAAGCAGGAAAGGGCAGGCGAGAGAGAAGCACAGGAGGGTGTTCATGTACACTGTATGAAATGCATGACATGAAATGTCTTTTCGTTTTGATTCCCAGATCAAAAAGTAAGAAGGACACACATGCATTTGATGACCTGAAGCCCATGGAGACTGGGCCGCTTGCCCAGGCACACTGCTCCCTTTGCCCCAACAATCAGCTCTCCTCTGGACATGGGCCGAGAGTGGCTCTCCTGCGCCAGGGTGAAGCTGGAAAAGACACGAGAGGCGGCGACACAGTGTCTGATGCTGAGAGGGCTTGGAGGAGCACATGGGGCTTTTGCAATTCGTGTGTGTTTTAAATCTCCTTATCCATGAAGAGGGTAGAGTAAACTCAAGGGAGAAGCTCAGGTCTTCAAAAACATTGTCCTGAAACATTAACCAAAAAAAAAAAAGGAAAAAAAAAAGAAAAAACAAATCCAGCCACCAAATCTTTGCATTGGTGGATCACTGCCCTGAATTTCACGTACCTTCCAGAATGCTGCTGTCGAGAAGGATGGGATTTCCATGTGAAGTGACGACGTTTCCTTTTTCATCAAACTCAACCTTCAAATAGCCTAGGTATTTGCCAAAAGCATAGGCCTGGACCACGGGAACCTGCCGTCCGTCATCGGACGTGACTATGAATGGGTACTGCCCCGCTGGCACCTCTTTGGAAGGTGGAGTGCCTGCAATGAAAGATCCAAAGTTGATCAAGTGGGCCCTTGTTCACGGACGGCTGGGAGCCTGCAGGCTGCCGGCCAGGTGACTGCGAATTCTGAACTGACGATTTGCCAGCTGCTGCTCTACACAGCTGGTCTTTCAGAGCCCAGCTCGGGCATCTGCCCCTGTTTCTGAATGCCCTTTTGGCACGTGAATCCTTCCATTCTCAACCCAGCAGCGGTTGCTAAGCTCTTGCTAAGTCCTGGGCACCGTGCCCGGTGGTACGTGGCATACAAAGATGCGACACTGCTAAGACTGTCCCGCCTCCATCCTGACCCTGGCTCCAATCTCACCAGCCGGGTGAAGCAGCCAAGCCACTTCACCTCACCGTGCTTCAGTTTCCCCATCTGTAAAATGGGCATAATAACGGGTTATTGCTGCCATCCTGGGCGTGGCAGTGCCAATTTCAAAGCCCTTGGGCGGCGGACTCTCGTGGCTACTGAGTCCTCCCTGGTGGCGGAGTCCTTCTGTGTGGGGGGAACGTGTCGGAGTCCCCGGTTTGGCGCTCCGGTGCTGTCGGGCCTCTGCGACGTGCAGGGGAGTGCTCCGGGCGAGAGTGGGGCGGGGGGACGGTGGGTGCACAGGCAGGCTGTGGGCAGTGCTGACTCCTGAGGTCCAGTGTCTCACGGTGACCTCTAGAAAGGGTCTGCTCTTCACTGGGCCCAGAAAACCCCATACAGTCATGCAAATCAAGCGGTTCAAATCTTCGTGTTCACTTTAAGGACACTCGTGAAACTGCCCAGGCCAAAAGCCACCAAGTATCTGAATGATGTCACTTTACAGAAGCAATGTGTGCCATTCCGTCATTCCAATGGTGGAGTTGGTAGGTGCGCCCAGGCCAAACAGTGGGGCCGGATGCAGGGTCGGTGGCCCCCAAAAGGTGCTGAATTGTTACTGCACACTCTCAAAAATGCAGAGAGTAATGCTGAGCTTAAGGGCTTAGATGTAGATTCTCTGGTCATGAGCGTGTTCAAGTGAACAAAGCCCCCAAGATGCAATGCAGGATTTACAGAGCTTGTGGTCGGATCAACACAAGCTCTCCCTGCCACACTGAGATGATCCTTCGTGAAAAAGAACAGACTGTTACTAAACCAGAAGAGGAGGTTGCACAGAACAAAAAGATACCCCAGAAAAAACTGAAGAAAACAAAAACTTATTTCCCGGGAATAAATGCTGCAAAAAAAAAAAAAAAAAAAAAAAAAAAAAAAAAAAAAAAAAAAAAAAAGGAAAAAAAAAAATCCAGAAAACCCCATACAGTCATGCAAATCAAGCGGTTCAAATCTTCGTGTTCACTTTAAGGACACTCGTGAAACTGCCCAGGCCAAAAGCCACCAAGTATCTGAATGATGTCACTTTACAGAAGCAATGTGTGCCATTCCGTCATTCCAATGGTGGAGTTGGTAGGTGCGCCCAGGCCAAACAGTGGGGCCGGATGCAGGGTCGGTGGCCCCCAAAAGGTGCTGAATTGTTACTGCACACTCTCAAAAATGCAGAGAGTAATGCTGAGCTTAAGGGCTTAGATGTAGATTCTCTGGTCATGAGCGTGTTCAAGTGAACAAAGCCCCCAAGATGCAATGCAGGATTTACAGAGCTTGTGGTCGGATCAACACAAGCTCTCCCTGCCACACTGAGATGATCCTTCGTGAAAAAGAACAGACTGTTACTAAACCAGAAGAGGAGGTTGCACAGAACAAAAAGATACCCCAGAAAAAACTGAAGAAAACAAAAACTTATTTCCCGGGAATAAATGCTGCAAAAAAAAAAAAAAAAAAAAAAAAAAAAAAAAAAAAAAAAAAAAAAAAGCAAATAAAAGAAAAGAAAAAAAAAGGCAAAATAACAATTCCTATTTCACAGGAATCTTGAGAGGATTAAACATTTAAACTCTCTTGCTGGGACTTCCCTGGTGGTTCAGTGGCTAAGACTCCGTGTTCCCAATGCAGAGGGACCGGGTTTGATCCCTGGTCAAGGAACTAGATCCCACGTGTCACAACTAAGTGTTCGCATGTCACAACTGAAGATCCTGTATGCCGCAACTAAGACCTAGCACAGCCAAATTAAAACAAAACAAAACTCTATTGCAGACTGCCTGGCACATAATAGATACTCAATAAATGTGTATTTCTTTCCCCCATGAGGGAATGGCAACCTCTAGAAACCCTAGACACACACTCCAGAGCTTAGACTCTTTAGTGGAAGATCAGCAGAAATGACAAGAAATTAACACAACATTGTAAATCAATTATACTCAATAAAAAATAGAAATGACAAAAGGCCATCCTTAGGTTTTTTTTTTTTTCATTCTTAGGTTTTGTTGCTGAGTTCTGTGTCCCCTCGGGTGCCTTAAGGAAGAGCCACATTCACCGGGGCGGTCGACCGGCACACACACCTCCTGCCCCAGCCAGACCGCAGACCTGCCGGGTTCTGCTGAGTTCTGCCTCAAAGGGGAGCTCTGGGGAGAGCCTGGGAGCCCCTTATGTCAAAGGGGAGCCAGAGGCTGGGTCCCATCCCAGCACGGCCTCCCGGACACACGCCGTGTGAGGGTGGGAGCCCGGCACTCGGAGCATGAGCCCTGGGCTCTGATCACCTGGCACGTTTCAGTTCTGCAACTGCACCCCTCCTATGGGTGCCCTGTACTTCCCATCTCACCTCCGGTGAGAGCGGGATCTCATCTGGGCTGTTCTGAGTCAGAGACTATAGAACAGATACCCTTGACCCACTACTATTTCTATCACCTCCCTCCGCACACCCACTACCAGCGCTTCCTATTAGATGTTCACTGAGAGGCCGGAGAACTTCAGCTTGTGTTGGTTCCTCATTGGACCAGTTATGAAACTCAGCCAGGAGCCAGCCCCGGGCTAGATCTCATTTAATCTTCCAGCAATCCCACGAGGCAGCTCCTATTATTATCCCCACACTGTAGACCGGAAGACCAGTTGTCACAGGCATGCGTCCATGGTCACGCAGCTGGTATGTGAAGGAGGGTGGGTTGAAAAGCAGGGCTGTGAGGCACTGGAACTTATGTTCTCTCCACCGCCCAACACAGCCTACGACGTGCTGTTCTCAGAGAGCCTGCAAGAGCTGGTTTCCAAAGGGCACTCACCAAAGCAGGTGCAAGCCCAGGGGCTGCACCTTTGTGCCCCAAGCTGTGTCTGGGCTTCCCTTTTCACTGAAGACATTATGCTGTACACCTGGGTTTACGAAAAACCCAGTCCTGCCTTGCGCCTGAGCCAAAAGCAGCCCCTTTAGCTCAGTAACCACAGAGCAGAAGTGCTGCAAATACCAACATTTCACCAGCAGGAAATATTCATAGCTGTGGCCAATCTTAATTTCCCATTGTCTTGCTTCCTCTGGATAAAGAAGAAAGCCTTGGAATTTTATTTCTACAAAAGCACGGACTTGAGATCCAGTGCAGGCCGTGTCCCATCTCCATTTGCACAGGCTTACGGGTGGGCGGCAGATGGTGGTGGTGACTGCCATAGATGGTCTGATGCATTGGAGAGTAGCATTCCGTTTTGTGGTGGTCCTTGGACAGACTTGGAGCCTGGCCTTTACTTCAGAGGACGGGGATGTGGCAGTCCCCTCACCTTCTCAGCTGGGCACGGTTAGGGAAGGTGGCTCCCCTTCTGAGCCCAGAGAAGCCTGGCAACGTGCAGTTCCCATTATATCCACAAGGTGGCGCACAACAACTCGTCCAGGAGGAACAGGCCCTACATCTGTTTCAGAAAGAGGTCTGGCAGATTCCTGGAAACCCAAGAGAAGGGCAAGCCTGACTTCTTTAGCCTTTATTTTTTCTGCCTTCCATAAATATATCTGAGTTTAAACAGAACGTAAAAATTCGGAATCGAACTATGGGGTCAGATGCCTCATCAGATCAGCTTGCTCTTTACAAATAGGAGCCACCAACCCCAGCTCCTGTAGGACAGGGGACTTTCTCCGGTGCTGAGTGGCCTTGATATGCCGTTTGTTAGAACAAAAGATGTGTCATCTTCATCTCGGATGGACTTAATCGGAGACAAGGAGGACGTTTCCCAAGTGGCTGAGACAATAGCCAGTCTAGTTTGGCTCCAGCCTGCGTTCCCCACAGCTGGGCCCTCTCTGCTTCCTGTGCACTTGGCAACCCCAGAAAACCACTGGCAAAGAAAGCAATCCAGGGCTTCAGAGTTCCCACAGCACTCTATTCAGCCACAGAGGCTCACGCCCCAGATCGTCTCTCCACACACAGAGCCACATATCTGTCTTTTTTTTTTTTTTTTTTTTTTCGTTTTTG